TTCGACAGCACATCATTTTCAAAAAATGTTAAATAAATCGAAGGGAATAGGAAATCTTCATTAAATTAAGATTTTTTTTAAGAGTAGAACCTAAAAGTAAAAGAGGGTGTCCCATTCAAAAAAATATAACTATATCGGTATTCATGTTTGGGACACCCTGTATATATAAAACCAAATTTAATTTGTATTTTTGTGTCGAGGGAATTTTTCATACCGTTTGTAGTTTATCCACCAGGCTCCATCCCGTTGAGCGTGGCGCACCTTCTATACAGCGTTGGGATGAAGTACGGAACCAAATAAATATCATAACCAAAACGTGATAATGTTGAAAATTTGCAGGATGATGAAATGACACATAGGGCAAAATCCTGCGATTTTTTTGTTGTTGAAATAAACATCTTGTTTTTCGAATTTGTTTGTAATGGGTTTGTTATGAGTATTTATTTGGTTTCCGTTTGGTTCCATACTTTATTCCAACTTTGTATACGAGCCCTTAGAACTATATGTTCGGACGATGTAAGAAAATTAAAAAAATATATTGATATTTATTTTAAACATTTTCCTGAGTGAATAATCAAGTCACATACTCTCTACTTAACATAAAATCTAATCGTAAGGAAATACTTTTTTATTTTGTATAAACAACATAACAAAGTAACGAAATTTGATTAAATTTGCCGACAAATAAATATTCGGACAAACTTGAATTTTATAGCTTAAATCGAACTTTTATACGAGGTAACATCACCTTCTGCGGTAATAACGGCTTGAATGCGTCGTGGCATGGAATCTACTAAAGTCTTACAATATTCGGGGGTGAAAGAGTTCCAAATTTGTGAATTTTTTTCCTTTAATGCTGGAACGGTACGCTGACGATCGTTTCGCAAAGACTTCTTCATCTGATGCCCTAATGTTTCAATGACATTCAAGTAGGGACTACTCGAAGGCCACGATAAAACTTTTATTATCATGGTCACCAAACCACTTTTTAGTTGTTTTCGCCGTATGGCAGGGTGCACCGTCTTGTTGAAAGATAAAACTATCATTTCCAAAACATTGTTCTGTTGTTGGAATTAAGCTTCTTGATAAAATTTGTTGATACTTTTCTGCATTTACAGTACCATCAATGAACTCATATTTGCCAAACCCTTTACTACTCATATATTCCCATATCATAACCCCCTTGGGAAATTTTACAGTACGTTTTAAGCAGTCTTCATGAAAAGCTTCGGATTTTGTACGAATTACCCTTTTCGAAAATCCCCAACGCATACATCAAATTTCGATGCATCGCTAAAGATGACATTACTTCACATTTCCGTTGTCCAGCAGGATATTTTGGATTTTGCCCAATCCAAACGTTTTTTCATTTGAATAGCTGTCAGTAATGGCTTTTCCTTCGCCTATAAGGAATGTGTGTAACAGAACATTATTAATTTTTGTGTATTAAAACAAAAAATTACAAAATAACTTTATAAAAACTATAACCAGACTTACGAAATCATTGTCTACAACACTCCCTAGAGACATTTAATTTTGCCTCATGATTCCATTGGGCTTGTATTTGTCGTAGAGTAGCCCTTCTGTTGGTTTTGCAAATCTTTACCAGAACACGGAGTTCTCTTCCTGTGATAGTACGCGGTCGGCCTGGACTTTTACCACAAACGTCAACACTAGCTCTCTCTACATATTTTTAATAATATCCCCGTTGATTTTGCAATATTTAAATCATTCGAAATTTTTTGCATTGATTTACCTTTGTGGTATTGAGAAATTATAATTTCTCGTAGTTTTTTGTTTGTCGCAACTCCACGCGCCATTTTCTCAAACAAGAATATCAAAATTTGACAGATAAACCTTTAACTGACAGCTATTGACTAAAGCACACTAGATTTATCAGTAAATGCATGCATATTACTGATTTCAAAGCAATAAAGATTAACGTATATATTTATTTGTCGGCAAATTTGATCAAATTCCGTAACTTTGTTATATAGTTTATACAAAATAAAAAAATATTTCCTTACGATCAGATTTTATGTTAAGTAAAGAGTATGTAACTTGATTTTTCCCTCAGGAAAATTGAAAAAAAAATTTTAAAATAAACATAAATATATTTTTTTTAATTTTCTTACGTCGTTCGAACATATAGTTGTTAGGGCTCGTATATTTTTCTTGTGTCTTATTTATTGTTCCTCATTTATTTTAATTTTTATGTTTTAAACTTGCTTTATACCTAAAAAGATTAGTAAAGTATCAATAACATAAATAAAAGTTCATTGTTTTATTTCCAACATGTTACGCCTCTGGTCTAATAGCATTGGTGCTAAAATAGAACATGATTTCCTGCAACGTTACGAGTCCTCTCTTTATACCTAGTCTGAGCATGTGACACGAGTGCACGAGAAGAAAGAATGATGTAAGAGTGTATCTGACTATCACGGGACGGGTATGTAGACTTTAAAATACGTGGTCACAAAGCGAAGAAAGGGGGTACTACCTATGATCATTGAGAATATAATCGCATGTTTTTCCAAATTATCTAATTTAAATTATTAAATTATTGGCGCCTATATGTTAATGTATGTTTATACGTTGAACATTTCTTTCGTCGTCGTCCGAAGTTATGGGCGCGTATTTTCGAGCAGAAATTATGTCAGAATCGATGTCAAAATAAACAAATTCACCAGACATAATCTTTATTTGTAAAAATCTAGTAACCCTTATTTTTATATAAAGAGCAAGGTCATTTTTTAACCAACTTCAAAAAAGGAGAAGGTTCTCAATTCATTGCAATTTTTTTTTTCTTTTTTTTTATGTATGTTCAGCGATAATTCTTTAACACGGTGTCCGATTTCAATGTTTATTTTTTTGTAAGAAAGAGGGTACTTCAGGGGTGGTCCCATATAAATTTGGTTAAGATGTAGTGATGGCACCTGCATGTTTTTGAAGTCGGTTTTTTTAAATTTTTTTAATTTCTAATACTTGTTTGTAATACTGTTACTGCAATTTCACTTTTTGCCTATGTATACAGTTTTACTGCGTTATTAATTAGTTCAAGTGATTTTACTAGCGGCAGCGTTTTAGATTCTAGTTTAAGAGGAAACCGGACCCCTCGCGAAAGCAAAAATGTTTTAAGAATTTTCTAATATAAAATTGTATTTATATGCGTGCCATTGGGAATACTTGATACGTGATATAATGGGTCTTGACAATATTGAGAGCTTTAAATTTATGCATCGATAAGGCAGCACTCTACAGAGACGTTTAAGGAAAAAAGGTGGGAAAGCATTCCATTTAAAAACTACTAGATATTCATTAAAACAAAAAACAGTAAATTTTTATAGAGTCAATACAGAATGGCGCGTAAATAGTTTTTTTAATTCTTTTTAAAAATTTTCAAAATAAATACTTTTCGAAAGTTTACAAAAAATTCACGGTTTCTCCACCCTAAGATTTGTTTTTATTGGTATTTTCTGAAAATTCCACAAAAATCGGACTAAAAGTAAAGGCTCAAAATGAATTATAAATTTTCGAGGTGTCCGGTTTGCTCTTAAGAACAGTTTCAGGCAAAAAAACTGTAATTTGCTTTTGTAAAAGCTAATAGCTGAAGCAATCCTTATTATGCAGGGGCAGCGTTTAAATGCTTTATGTTAAGTGCAAAAAATGACAAAATATGCAGAAAATATGCAAAAAATGACAAAATATGCAGAAAATATGCAAAAAAATTGGTAAGATACTCAAAAATTGCTAAAATATTCAAAAAGTACATATGTCGTAGCCAGATTACAAAACCTGTCGTTTTATAAATTGCGGTCAAATTGTCAAATTTTCGTTTATCTTTCATATCTTTTCTATCTGGCTAGCCGGATTATAAAATGCCTAGGTGTTTTATAAAAAGGCGGTTTCAGTCGTCTTGTAAAACACTGCCAGTTTTCGACATGAACAATTTAATGTGTAATTTCGCAGTAAGTGATAAAACTAAATGGAAATGTAATCTTTGCTGTAAATACAAAGTAATAAAGACAGTGCAAAATAGATCAAAAACGTGTCGCTGACCAACTGGTTTAAATCACAAAAAAAATGGAAAGATTTGCCGGGGGTAGCATGTTTTTATAACATTTTCAAAATGCCAGGGGTCCACTTGACACTAAAGGTGTGTTAAAAACTATTCTTGATGTACGAAATGGAGTATACCAGATAGAAACTGAATATGGTCTTTAAATCGACGGTTTTCTAGGGACCAAAATTATAGAGAGAAACATCACAAACAGCAAGATTTTTCTTCTATAATCATAAATTACAGAAATAAACCTTTAAGTAATATTAAATAGCCATATTTTGATAGGCAACTCAGCAAAACCGTATTTCTCCATTAATAATTTCCTATAGAAATTGTATTTTGATTAAAACATAGTGCAGACATTATACTATTATTGGTTCTTTTAAGCTTCACAAGTGTTCTTTTATCTTAGGTTCATTTGTTCCTCAGATTTATTTGTTCTACAGTTTAATTTGTTCTTTAGTTTCATTTTTGTTTATTAAAAAAAATATGTAAAATATTCATTATAATATGTTTTATATCCATTAAATACATAAATAATTAATTTGATGGCCCAAACTTTATAGTAAAATTCGTATATTATAAAACGACTGAAACATTTTACCCGCCAGAGTGTCACGCAGAATATAATTTTGAAAATTTGAGAATCTGACCGCGTGTAGACCGTCATTTTATGAAACAGCTAGGCATTTTAGAATCCGACTAGCCAGATTGGAAAATAATGAATGTTAGTAGAGAATTTGACAATCTGGCCGCCTTTTGTAAAATGACATTTTATAAAACGACGGGTTTTACAATTTGGCTACGACACATGTACTATGTTTTTGCATAAAATATTCATTTGAATACGAATCCGCGCTATAGTCATGAAGTATCATAAATTATTTTTTTCTAAAAATATCGATTTCTTACATATTTATTCCTGTTTTCATTTTAGGAATCTATGAAAATCATGGGATTGCCGAACTGGTTACATTGGACTGCATGGTTTATTAAATGTTTCATTTATTTATTAATATCCATAGTATTAGTGGTAGCATTACTAAAAATTAAGTTTTATGGATCTGATTATACTGTTTTTACATACGCTAGTACGACAGTACTTTTCGTATTCTTCGTGTTATACGCTATTTCAACTATTACTTTTTGTTTTGCACTCAGCGTTTTTTTCTCAAAAGGTACTTTTTTAATTATATATATTTCTATTTAATAATGTGGAAAAATATTGGTACTTAATTCTTTATATAGTTGGTTGTTAAAAGTCTTGTTTTCAAACTGCTTAGCAACGCTGTATGTTCGGTCAATATTTTATCAGTTATTTTAATGAATAAACTTGTAAAAACACCTTTTTTAGCCAATACTGCTGCAACCATGGCCGGTCTTTGTTGGTTCTTATCTTATGGACCTTTCCTGTTCATGCAAAATAATTATGCAGGATTGTCTTTAGCAGCTAAAATGTTTTCTAGTCTAGCAACAAACACAGCAATGGCATTTGGATTTCAAGTGGTTCTTATGTACGAGGGAACTGGAGAGGGTAAGTTAGAGAAGCCCAAATATTTGTTTCATTTAATATAAACTTTCTTTTAGGTATCGCTTGGGATAACCTTTTTACGCCAAATACACCAGATGATAATTTGACTCTAGGTCATATATGGATTATGTTAATTATTAATAGCATTTTATATTTATTTATCGCTTTGTATGTAGAGTCAGTATTTCCAGGAGAGTATGGAGTACCGCAGAAGTGGAATTATTTGTTCACTAAGTCCTACTGGTATGGCGAAACTAGAAGAACAGGTATTTAATTGATTGTCTCACTTCTAAATGCAATTAAGTATAATGATTGTTATTTAATTGATATTTTAATATTTTCAAATATGTAATATAATGCAAACTTGTTTCATTATCTTTCAGATGACAAAGAGGGCTTGGAATTGCCCAACCAAAGCGAATTCTTTGAACCAGAACCGAAAGGTTTAAAAGTAGGAATCAAAATTAACAATCTTAAAAAGGTGTTCGGTACCAAAACAGCCGTACGAAACTTATCACTTAACATGTACGAAGACCAAATAACGGTGCTGTTGGGTCATAATGGCGCCGGAAAAACCACTACAATGTCAATGTTAACAGGAATGATAACACCTACGTCTGGTACAGCAAAAATAAACGGGTAATGTGGTTTGTCTTTCAAATCAGCGTAAAATCACCGCATCGCTTCATTTATTGCAATTATTTATTTTATTTTTAGTATTCTGAATTTTCTTTTATTACAAAAAGATGCGCTCCTTGACTAACAAATGCAATCATGGCTATGGTGACTGACAGAAATAGAGCCTTTAAGAAATTCAAGTTTACAAAAAGTGGAATGTTCCTAAATTGACATAATTTTGACAAGAGACATTTTTTATAAGCATTGTATTAAAATTTCGATACAAACAACGTTTCAGTCAATATCTGTGTATGTGCATGTATTTCTGTTTGGCAACGGTATTAAAACCAACTGGTCAGTCAAACTTAAATTAACTTTAAATACCCAAATTAAAGGTGGAAACGCATTAAGCAATCGCGTCCCCGTCGCATTGCTGTCTTTGCCCTATTTTATAACGCATGCTATGCACTAAGACTTGATGTTTTGTTTTGTTTTTTTTGTTTTATTTTATTTTTTATACATATATTTTAATTATTTTTATCTTGACACCTATTTATTTAGAATAATTTAATATCGAATTTTACTGAAATGACAATTGAAAGGTACTAAATATTCTTTGTAATTTTACTTTAAATAGATTAATTCTTCTTTTAGGTTATTTGCTTTAAAAAAGTTTGAATATTCAAGAAAAATGTCTACAAATAGTGGCATGGCACTTTTTTCTTTTTCCAATATTGATAGTTTATTGTACAGCTGGTAGTTTATTGTACAATTTTATTTAGCAATGTTTTACCAATTACAACTAAATAGACCATAAATTTAATTCCTAAAAATTGGCGGCGGAAAATTATTGAGAGCTCACAAAATTCGCTTCGGTAACCTTAATAGGTGTGCTAGGCAGATTTATTCTATCAATTTTTTGTATTGTAGTATGTGATGTAGAGTCATAGAATATTGACCCCTAATACAAGATTATTCTAATACGATTTTTAAATACTAATAAAATATCAAACCTGCTCCCCAATTACTACCGTTTACAGTCTTTTTAGTTCTTCGTAAAAGGTAATTTAGCTTAAGTTTTATAAGGGAAGCTGTTGTTTAAAAAATGGATATAAAAAGGATTAAAACGTTTTCTAGTTAACGTATTGACTGTTGACTTGTTTTATGAAATACCAAAATTATTATTTCTGGTCCAATTTGTTGTGACTATAAATATTTCTTCAAGGAGTTCGTTACATTTATCTATTGATTTGTTTTCCACGCAAACGGCAATATCGTCAGCTTATTATAAAATCGTTATGCTCTAGAAATTATTCTGTCTGCAGTATAAAGTAAAACTTCTCAATAGCGGCCATCAAAAATGTCATTACAAATTGGCTGATTAAGGGGATTACCGCTTTTGTCGGGAATAATTAAAATAAATTATTTACAATGTGTGATCTCAATAAAATGGAGTATTTACTTATGTGTGCTTGCACAAAAAAAAAAGATATTATTTTTTATAAATAAGAAAAAGATGTCTCTATACTAAACTTCTTAATTATTAAATTCACAACACCAATATGTTCTATAGTTTGAAGTCAAATTTAAAGAGATAATTTTATATACAATAAAAATATGCACGTTTTGTGAAAAGAATGTTCAATTGAAGTCTGTTTCAAATGTTCATTTTTGCTACTTCATCCTCACATTTTGTTAAGATGTTAAAAATATCAAGTGCCAAATCACCATTTTTTTCACCTAATAAAAATTTTTATACCTCTCTCAATTTTTCACAAACTTCACTTATTTTTTTAACAGAATTAAAAATCTTTTGGACAGTTTTCGTCTTCGGGAGGGTCAGTTTTGCTAGTGAATTTCTAAAATATTTCCTGGCACATCAATACTGGGAAGATATTTTAATTTTCTTAGTTTCCATAAATGCCGATTTTTGGAAACATTTTTTAATGATTGATGATGAAATATTTTTCCATGCTGCAACATAGGACTTAAGAAATTAATACTATTTTCTGCTTTTTCAAACGCATTTTCGGTGCTTGTAAAAGTAAACAATTTTCTTTTTAAGCATTTTCTAAATTATACTTAAAAATTTTGTATTATAGTCCGTTGCAAGATAATCTAGAAAGCGCAATGATCTGGCAACCTCTTGAATCGTTCGCCAACATGCTGATCAGATTACACTAGACCAGTTCCAATTCTAATCGCGCTTTAATTGCATGTATTCATATTATTCTATCAGTTGAAATATTTTTCAGGTATTGTTTAGATCTCCTTCTACATTTGTTAACCATATTTATATCCCTGTTCTTCCTAGTTTTAATGTAACAATGGCAAACTCACCGATTCTCGTTTCATACTTGTTCCCTTAAGTGATTCGACCATTTATTAGGCATGTAGTTCTAGCTCGAGGCTGTTATTTCTATTATCAATATCTCCTTTTAGTTGTAATCCCCATAGGTTATAAAAAAATCCCTAGTGCAGTTTTAAGAATTTTCGTTTCCACTATAGGTACTTTAGGCTGATCATGTATCTGCTATTTGCGTAGGTAATATCGGATAGCATTACTATGATACAAGTATTAGAAATTAAAAATTAAAAAAACCGATTTCAGAAACGTGCAGATGCCGTCACATCCTAAACAAATTTATGTGGGACCACCCCTGTTACTAACAAAAAAGAATCATATAAATCGGACAAAGTGGTAAAGCATTATCGCTAAACATACATAAAAAATGAAGAGTTTGAGGATTTTCTCACGGATCCAATTATTATATTTTGAACAAATTTATGTGGGACCACCCCTGAAGTATCCCCTTTCTAACAAAAAAAGAATTATTGAAATCGGACACCGTGTTGAAGAATTATCGCTGAACATACATAAAAAAAATATCGCGACGAATTGAGAACCTCCTCCTTTTTTGAAGTCGGTTGATAAAATAATAAACGTTCATTTGTGAAGACACAATATGCTTCACGTTTTCATTTTTATTTTCTTTCATAAAAAATCAAATTATGGGTGAATTGTCCTGAAGGACATTGCCCGCAAAAGGAATAGAAGAAAAGGAAGTAATCAAATTATAGGTTAGGTATGTCAAATTATCTCGCCATATTTTGCCCAAATCGGCCAGCAGCGTTGCACTTCCGTTCTCCTTGGTGGAACGTATTTTTATTATGTCAAATATAGCCTATATCCTATCCAGTAAAATAATACAGATCAGTGGCTTAAATGCACTAGTCGAGGATAGGTACCCTGCTGTTTGCGATCTTATTATATAGTGATTTGGATATTAAAATTATAGATTAATTTAAACCTACTTAAGTCAATCCATTTATACCAAGAAACTGTATCAAGTTTTTATCTGTAAGTACCGGCGTGCTCCAGGGATCAGTATTTGGCCATAAACTATTTTCTATTTTGCAAATGTTTTCTTTTCGTGTTTACTATATTACTATGCTGTCTTTTTCCTTGGATGAAACGAATCAAGTATAATAACTGCTACTAATTATGACTTACATAATATCTTCATATATCTATGATATTTCTAGATGTTATAACGAGTGCGTTTTTAGAGTGAATTACGCAGAATATATATGTCTTAAACGACATTATTTAGTTGACCACTAACAAAATATAATTGTCCTAATTATCTAGTAAGCTATATAAATAATACAATTTCACGGTGATTTCTAAGGCGTTTAGCGGTATCTTTAGGCATTATACCTAACTTAAGTTATTGCACTACAGGTACGACATAAAAACCGAGATGTCCACCGTCAGAAACAGCCTCGGATTGTGTCCTCAGCACAATATCATCTTCGACGACCTCACCGTCGCCGAACATTTGTATTTCTTTAGCAAACTAAAAGGATTGACGAAGAAAGAAATAGGCACTGAAATTGATAACTACGTTAAGCTGTTGGATCTCGAACCAAAAAGGAACGCCAAATCAAGCACCCTATCTGGTGGCATGAAGCGAAAGCTGTGTGTAGGCATAGCGCTTTGCGGTAAATCCAAAGTTATTATGTTGGATGAACCCACAGCTGGTATGGATCCGTCAGCTAGGAGGGTTCTTTGGGAACTTCTACAGAAACAGAAAGAAGGTAATTATTTTCTTTAAGAGAGTTTTTGTCAGTCGTTACCTAAATTTTTACACTTTGTGTTATTTATATATTGCATCATTTTTCAGGTCGTACCATGTTACTAACGACTCACTTCATGGACGAAGCTGATCTTCTTGGTGACAGAATCGCTATTATGGCTGGAGGTGAGGTGCAGTGTAGCGGTTCCAGCTTCTTTCTCAAGAAAAAATACGGAGCAGGTTATAATCTCGTTATGGATAAAACCAGAGAATGTGACCCCAATAAAGTGACCGAACTTTTGCAAAAATTCATTCCAGAAATCGAAGTAAGTACTACACAAAAAATGGGATATAGAGGCATATGTATTCTCAGAAAAAAAGTCGCAATTTTAATTTATAAATCTTTAAGTCGGCCTAAAAGAAGCTTAGATCACCAATTTTAAAATCGCCCGTTTGGCTTTTTGCGCTATGTCACCCTTAGTGCATTTGCCTTTCTTTATATTCTGTCAGAGACTTAGTAAGTTTGAAATCATACCGAGAAAATATACGGTTGTCATTTTTACTCAACAGCTCCTTTTTGTTCCATCGCAGCCCTTCCTTGTATTGACTAATTTTCATCCGGAGTCTGATGATTTTTCTGTGTTCCCTTTCCAGCAAAATACAACAAGTAGATAATTCCCGAATAGTCTCATTGGCTCCCTTATGTGTGTAGACAGTGCCCCAGTGATAGCGATGCATACAAGTCGTTGAATCCCATACAACTTTGCTCTAGTAGTCTATTAAAGTCCCTTGACCTACTAGATAAGCCAGTACATAAGCACTGTTTCTACCACGGTTTGGTATATCCAATAGACCAGTTTGGGGTTGATTCCATATGCTTCTTTGTTGGTTTTGTCCAATTGGGAGTTTTAGAAGTTTTGTTTATGAGAACAAGTCTCAGATACTTTACTTCCTTTGTAAAAGGAATGGCTTTCCTCCACTAATGTAGGTTGTCGAAGCTTGCTCCCTATCGCAATATCTGTTTATTGTAGTTGTGGCTCATTAAAAGATGTTGGAGATTTTCATAGCATCCGCATAATAATGGAACTTTCTACCGATAAAAATCGTTTAGCATCTTAAAACTATATTTTTGACAATTAATTTCTAAATTAATAATTTTCACAGATTCACAGTAACGTGGGCAGTGAGTTAACTTACCAGTTAACCGAAAACCATGCTGTAGTTTTTGAGGCGCTTCTTAAACAGCTCGAGCTTCAATCTGAGTCGTTGGGGATCCGAAGTTACGGCATTTCTTTGACCACCTTAGAAGAAGTGTTTATGAAGTAAGAAATGAATTTTTAAATAACGCATTCCAAGCTTACTTTTTTGTAACAAACGAATTTAATTTTTAGAGTTGGAGCCGATCATGGTCAAGAAGAAGAATACAATGAAAGAGAAAATAAAACTATAAAGGAAAAAGTTACGATTGACAATAATTATGATAAATGTGAGCAATTTTTTTAATAATTGAGTAATAATTATTTTTCTGTTGCAAAAAGATAGTGGTATCTTAACTTCAAAAATGATTTTATCTTCTTCCTACTCATCTTATTTTCTAAGACTCTTTATGGTGTCAGCTTTAGTTCATTTTTGTCTAATCTTTATGTTCAATTTTAACAATCCTTTTGACGTTTCTTTGCCTTATAGAAACTTCTTTCCTTCTCTTCCTCTGACCTTTTAGCTCTATACCCTTTTTTATTATTTTGTCATCCATTTTAGCTTTTTTTTTATTTGTGTTTCATTAAAGGTAAACATATAAAGGGTCTAGTTTCTGAGTAGACAATCTCGAAATAAGCACATTTCACAGGAATCTCCGAAAATTTAGTTGCTTATTGTTTATCTGTTTATCCGTTAATTTTTCTACGATCACTTAGGAAAGTGATTCATATTGCACTATTTAGTATTATGAAAAGTGCCGCATGTGGATAAGAATCTATTTTACGCCCTTATATGAATAAAAATCTAAACATCATCTGTCAAATATTTCAGATGTATCATTTTTATTTTGATTTATGAAATGCCTACATTAATAGTAAAAACGATTGGATAATTAAATTATAAATATTTATTTTAATATATCCAAGATATTTATTTAACAATTATTACAATAATTTACTTTATCTTTGGTTTTTTTCTGGCTAATACACTAATTTAAATAGATAATTTACTGACATAAGCCTTTATTGCTCAGGTCGTTATGCGTTTAACTTTAAATTTCGCGATCTGGGTTCCATTCCCAATAAATCCAATATGTTTTGTCAAATTTAAAACATAAAATATATTTTGTTATTTTGAAATTGTAAACTTTGAAAGTAACATATTATGGAAATTGTACATTTTGCAAAAAATTTCATATATTTTATGCTCTTTATTAGAAGCTGTACGAAAAAACATGAAACTTAAGATAAAAAAAATAATATCTTATTATAAAATATTATTTCGCGACATTAAACCCTTATTCGAAATTCTTTCTTCATCGGATTCTTGATCTGTAGCAATAGATATAACAAGATAGAGCAATAGAATTTTAGATCCTGATTAACCTTTCAGTTTTCATTCAGGCTTTTTTTTAGTTTTCAATACGCCACCTTTGATTTTTTTTTCCTAACGAGAACGTCATTCTTGGAGCAGTTTCGTGCTTATTAGGACTCGTCAACAAGAAAAAGACATTCTCGATTTCAATATGTAATGGAACCAGTAGAAGGGTTATATTAAAATTGGGAAATCATCATGGAAATAAACTCTATTTCATAAATGTGACCAATAATGTGACCAATAATGTGACCAATAATGTGACCAATAATGTGACCAATAATGTGACCAATAATGTGACCAAGAATGTGATCAAGAATGTAATTGAGGATGTGACCAAGAAAGTGATTAAATGTAACCAAGAATGACGTTCTTTTTCTTTTTTATTTTTAAATTTAACATATTTGAGATTTGGATTTTAAATCTCGTTTAATTTATTTTTTTTTTTTTATTTTTTTAGCTTCAGTTTCTCTAGGCCCAACCTATACGGGCGGTGCTAAACTTATACAAAACCAATTTATGGCAATGCTATTAAAGAAAATCCTAAGCTCGGTACGTTCATGGATTCTTCTACTTATCCAAATTTGTATACCGATGATACAGATGATCATAGTTTTGAGCGTACCGAATGCAAGTTTAAATAGCGAAGGCTTACCACCGATGCCTTTAGATTTGAGCAAGTTCGAGAACCCTATAACTTTAGTGGAACCAGGATCAAATACGTTCGTTTATCATAATTATTATAATAAAGTTTTGAATGGGTATGGATTAAGTGCAACGGACAATCAGAATTTGACTGATACTATGCTCACTTTGGTAAGCAAAAAAACTGAGGGTCAATGCATATAATTTATATAAAATACGTATAGTTTTAAACTACTGTTTATTTGATATAGAATGGCACTGATCCTTTTTTCTAAAATTTTATTTTTAAACTAAACATTTAGCAGATATATTAGAAAGTTCGTACTTATATAAAACAAAACACAAGCAAAAAGTATTCTATAATTTCTGAATGTACTGAAACATTTATTAAGAGAAACAGAACAACACAGCAATATAGCAAAAAACTTCTAGAGAGTACAACAATAATTATAAATAGCTTTGTTCGCGAAGTCTGTCGCCGACAAGTAGACGACTTGTCACTGATAAATAATCAGAAATGTTTGTGCGCAACTGCGATTTGTAACAAATACTTGACAAGAGATCACCGCGAATAACTTGTGAACCAAAATGACTGTCATACACTTATTTAACTGCAAATTAAAAGTGATACAGAAGACTTTAGATTGTGAAGATAGTTTTTAAAATAGATGTCAGAAACATTGCATTGTAAACATTCAATTTTTATAATTTATTGGAATAATCGACATAATTAATGACTCAAACAACGATTCCTCTTTGTTTCGTTCCATTTTTCTCTTCGTTATGTCGGCTAGGCACAGGGTCATTATGTTGGACGACCTCAATTATTGTAAACATTGGGAGTGGGACGCAAATGTCACGGTAAACAACGCGAACGAAGTAATGTTGAAAAAATCGCCGGAAATAATGACAGTCATCCACTACAAGGACGAACCAACGCACTTCCCATTTAACGGATACACTCCCAGTACACTGGATCTAGCGATCACAAAAAACATCGCGCAATTGCGAGAACGATAACAACACTGAACTTAGATCACTTATCAGTGTACTGTGAGCTCTGGACAAAAAACACAATACAACGCAACCTAGGACGATTTTACGTTTACTCTACAACAAACTGGAACTTGTACAGACGAACACTAGACCAAACAATAGTAATAAATAACAAGATAACAACGAGACAAGATTTATAAAACGAGACAAAAAACTAGCAGATACCATTAATAAAGCCAGAGACCGGTCAACACAACTAAAAACTAGGACGACACATAGAGAAAACCCACCACAAGACATCTTAGACTTGATCAAAAACAAAAATAAAATTAGAAAAATAGCAACAACATAGGAGATCCGGAGACAAAATTCGACTGCTAGACATAGTGAACACAATTGAAACACACCCAAAAGAAACCAAAAATGAGTCATGACAAAAGATTCTATTGGAGATCAATCCAAATGACAACTTAATATGGAAAGTTGCGAACTACTTCAAAAAACCGTACTCTCAACTTCCCATATTATTAGAGGACAACCACAATAACAAATATATCACAAACACAGAAAATGGGAGAGGGTTCGGCGAACGCTTTCAACATAATTTCCCAAATAACATAGCAAATTCTCCACAACAACAACAAGCAATTGAAGACATAGTAAATAACATTTGGGAATTACCTCCCCAACCGGTATCAATAAATGACCTATTAACTCTTCAGGAGGTCAAAAATAGAATAAAGAGGCTACGCAACAGGAAGGCCCCAATCCCAGACGGCATATGTAACGTATTGTTAAAAAATTTAAGTAAAAAAGCAATAGTTAAATTAAATTACATTATAAACGCGATATTAAAGTTACAGCATTACCCAGATAACTTAGAAAAGGCAAATATAAAACCTATCCACAAAAACGCAAACCTTAAAAGAATGTAGATAGTTACCGACCCATTACGCTACTTAACGGTATCGCAAAAACAATTGACAAAATTTTACTCACGAACTTTAAATATAGTTATGTAAAACAATTTTTTTTTCAAAATTAAAAAAACCTTTCTTTTTTTTAACAAAAAATCTGATGTGTCCAACACATGACTTTCCTATCTAGTTATTATAGGCTTTTTCCGGTTATTTTGTACAACCTATTGCAGCATCTCTATAAATGTTTAGAGGATAAACTAAATATATACATTGTCCACATACATCTACCTCGAAACATTTTTCTATAGATATTCATTAAAAACGAAAATACTGAAATTTTCCTACAATTTCTTCATTACGGTCCATTTTAGAAAAATCATGTATAAACAAAAATTATAGAGATCGATATCGCAAACAACTTTTATTTCAAAAACTTTCATAAAAATCAGAATTTTGCACATCTTGTCAAATTTCTCGAATACGGACCATTTTAGAAAAATTTTGTATAGAACAAAAATTATAGATAATTATATTAGAAGTAACTTTTATTTAAAGAATTTTCTTCTCCAAACATAAATAACAGATATATTCCATAAAATATAGAAACGGCCTCCCATAAAGTACCCCCCAGATGTTCCGACTTTGTCCAAAATCGAATCATTTCACGTCAGGCCGAAATAAACCTTAAGTTTAAAATTTAATGTTTTTTTCTGTATCCGTTTTTGAGTTTTCTTCAAAATTCGAAATTTACACATTTTCTCAAATATCTCGAATACGGTCCATTTTAGAGAAATTATGTATAGAATAAAAATTATAGAGAATTTTATTACAAACAACTTTTATTTAAACAATTTTTATAAAAAATTATTTTTTTTAATTTTTTTCAAATTTCTCGAATACGGACCATTTACGGAAAATTTTGCATAAACCAAAAATTATAGATAATTATATTAGAAGTAACTTTTATTCGAAGAATTTTCTTCTCCAAACGTAAATAACAGATATATTCCATAAAATATAAAAATGACCACCCATAAAGTACCCCGCTAGATGTTCCGACTCTGCCCAAAATCTAATCAGCTCATTGGACGCTGAAACAAAGCTTAAGTTTAAAATTTGGTGTTTTTCTGTGTATCGGTTCATGAGTTATGCGTTATACAGACACACACACACACACACACACACACACACACACACAGACACACACACACACACAGACACACACACAGACACACACACACACACACACACACACACACACACACACACACACACACACACACACACACACACACACACACACACACACACAGACATCATCGCGAAAATAGTCAAAACGGATTCAGGGGACCTCAAAACGTAAAATTTCCGTCGAAAACTCGAAGTCGAAAAAAATAATGATTCCTATACTTTCCTTATATCTGTATACAGATAGGAAAGTAAAAATGAAAAAAATCTGATGTGTCCAACACATGACTTTCCTATCTAGTTATTACAGGCTTTTTCAGGTTATTTTGTACAACCTATTGCAGCATCTCTATAAATGTTTAGAGGATAAACTAAATATATACATTGTCCACATACATCTACCGCGAAACATTTTTCTATAGATATTCATTGAAAATGAAAATACTGAAAAATTTAAATTTAGCACTTTTCCTACAATTTTTCCATTACGGTCCATTTTAAAAAAATCATGTATGAACAAATATTATAGAGATCGATATCGCAAACAACTTTTATTTCAACAATTTTCATAAAAATCAGAATTTTGCACATTTTGTCAAATTTTTCGAATACGGACCATTTCAGGAAATTTTTACATAAAACAAAAATTATAGATAATAATAGAAGTAACTTTTATTTGAGCAATTTTTTCTCCAAACATAAATAACAGATATATTCCATAAAATATAAAAACGGCCTCCCATAAAGTACCCCCCCAGATGTTCCGACTTTGTCCAAAATCTAATCATTTCACGTCAGGCCGAAATAAAATAAATAAAAAGTTTAAAATTTAATGTTTTTTTCTTCATCCGTTTTTGAGTTTTCTTCAAATTTCGAAATTTACACATTTTCTCAAATATCTCGAATACGGTCCATTTTAGAGAAATTATGTATAGAATAAAAATTATAGAGAATTATATTACAAACAACTTTTATTTGAACAATTTTTATAAAAAATTATTTTTTTTACATTTTGTCAAATTTCTCGAATACGGACCATTTTAGGAAAATTTTATATAGAACAAAAATTATAGATAATAATATTGTAAGTAACTTTTATTTGAAGAATTTTCTTCTCCAAACGTAAATAACGAATATATTCCATAAAATATAAAAATGACCACCTATAAAGTACCCCCCAGATGTTCCGACTCTGCCCAAAATCTAATCAGCTCATTGGACGCTGAAACAAAGCTTAAGTTTAAAATTTGGTGTTTTTATGTGTATCGGTTCATGAGTTATGCGTTATACAGACACACACACACACACACACACACACACACACACACACACACACACACAGACACACACACAGACACACACACACACACACACACACACACACACACAGACATCATCGCGAAAATAGTCAAAACGGATTCAGGGGACCTCGAAACGTAAAAATCCGTCAAAAACTCGAGGTCGAAAAAAATCATGATTCCTATACTTTCCTTATATCTGTATACAGATAGGAAAGTAAAAATCAAACATAGTTTTTACTTTCCTATCTGTATACAGATATAAGGAAAGTATAGGAATCATGATTTTTTTCGACCTCGAGTTTTCGACGGATTTTCACGTTTTGAGGTCCCCTGAATCCGTTTTGACTATTTTCGCGATGATGTCTGTGTGTGTGTGTGTGTGTGTGTGTGTGTGTCTGTGTGTGTGTGTGTGTGTGTGTGTGTGTGTCTGTATAACGCATAACTCATGAACCGATACACAGAAAAACACCAAATTTTAAACTTAAGCTTTGTTTCAGCGTCCAATGAGCCCGTTAGATTTTGGGCAGTGTCAGAACATCTGGGGGGGTACTTTATAGGTGGTCATTTTTATATTTTATGGAATATATCTGTTATTTACGTTTGGAGAAGAAAATTCTTCAAATAAAAGTTACTTCTAATATAATTATCTATAATTTTTGTTTTATGCAAAATTTTCCTAAAATGGTCCGTATTCGAGAAATTTGACAAAATGTAAAAAACATAATTTTTTATAAAAATTGTTTAAATAAAAGTTGTTTATAATATAATTCTCTATAATTTTTGTCCTATACATAATTTCTCTAAAATAGACCGTATTCGAGATATTTGAGAAAATGTGTAAATTTCGAAATTTGAAGAAAACTCAAAAACGGATAAAGGAAAAAACATTAAATTTTAAACTTAAGGTTTATTTCGGCCTGACGTGAAATGATTAGATTTTGGACAAAGTTGGAACATCTGGGGGGGTACTTTATGGGAGGCCGTTTTTATATTTTATGGAATATATCTGTTATTTATGTTTGGAGAAGAAAATTGTTCAAATAAAAGTTACTTCTAATATTATTATCTATAATTTTTGTTTTATGTCAAAATTTCCTGAAATGGTCCGTATTCGAGAAATTTGACAAAATGTGCAAAATTCTGATTTTTATGAAAATTGTTGAACTAAAAGTTGTTTGCGATATCGATTTCTATAATTTTTGTTTATACATGATTTTTCTAAAATGGTCCGTAATGGAAAAGTGCTAAATTTAAATTTTTCTGTATTTTCGTTTTCAATGAATATCTATAGAAAAATGTTTCGAGGTAGATGTATGTGTAAAATGTATATATTTAGTTTATCCTCTAAACATTTATAAAGATGCTGCAATAGGTTGTACAAAATAACCGGAAAATGCCTATAATAACTAGATAGGAAAGTCATGTGTTGGACACATCAGATTTTTCTTTTACAAATTATAAAAAATCATATTAATTAAAAAAGCGTTCGTTTTTTTATTTTTTTTTTTATGAAAAAAATAAACAGCAATTTATGACAATGTTAATAGCAACATACGAACGCCACAGTTGGACTAAAATACTTTCCTACACACGAAAAATAGATCATCTTTATTAGAAATCGTCTTTTAACAGCTTAGCTGCACGATTTTAGTTGTTAACTTTCCAGCAAAACAATGTTTTCTTCCGCGAGAGATAAATTTGAAACACACGACATTCCAAACTACAGTTTCTTCTGCACAGCTTTCAAAAGTAGGTGCAAATTTTCTTTAGCTACCAGCAACAACAGCGGCGTGCAAAAGAAGCTTAACCACTTATGGTGGATTGCATATGTCCAAACGAAATAAATTATTCAACCAAAGTGCAACCAAAATAGTTTATCTTGCCCGTAACCTGAAATTAAAATCCGAAACTGCAAAGGAAGACATATGCATAGATACTATTACTAGAATCGTTGATACTGAGGGCACAATTTCCATTAAAGTCGATACTGATTCCAAGTACAAGTGGCTTATCAACAGATCCTAATAAAGATCCCATAGCTAAAGTCGTCATGAATGTAGAACATCTGATTTATAATTTCGTCAATTATTTCTGAAACTGTATCTGTACACGACTCTGACACGTCGGAAGAACCAGAAGAATTTGACGTTAATTTTGATTATAGTAATTTTGAATAGTAGATAGTATTGTAGGTTACATACCTCCTTTGAAGTGTACGATATAAAGACGCTGTCTAATTTTTTTTACAAAGAAAAACTATTTTAGCTGTGTTTTTGATTTAATACTCATGTATGTTTATTTTAGAAGCAAGTTTTTATTTTGTGTTGATATTTAAATATTTCTATTATAAATAAATATTTTAAAAAGTTGCAATATTTCATTTCAAAGTAAAAAAAAAAATTAAATTTACACTGACTTACATAGAAAATATACGTATCTAATACCACCCGCCAACTACAGTCAATTAGGCGAACTTTATAAAAAGAAGAACGGAAATTATAAAAATTACCATTGCCGATTTGCCTTCTTCTATCTAGTCTTCATACTTTCAACCATGATCGTGGTCCAAATGTAACCAACAAATTAATTTTTTCAGGAACCTTTGTCAAAAAATCCTGGTTAGCTACGGTTAGTAGTCGGTTAATATCGGACCATACCCTAAAGTCAAGGTTTATTTTAAAGTGAAGATACTCATGATCAACTTCGTGAAAAATATTTTAACATATTAAGTAAAAATTAATAACGAATTTATGTTTAATTTTAGACGAGAACAAATGCAAACAGGGTCAGACGACTTTACATAGTTGGCGCTTCTTTCGACGAATTATCACTAAGTGATATAGAAATTCCAAATATGACACTTCCAAGTATCATACTTCCAAAAATCACGGCTTGGTTTAACAACGACCCCTACCATTCGCCAGGAATATCTCTAAGTTTCGTCTTGTCAGCGGTTTACAAAAATTTGATGGGCTGTCCGAACTGTAACTTAGAATTCATAAATAAACCTCTACCAAACAAAGCTGAAACCCAAATAAATCAAATCAACAGCGGTCAAACTCAAGGCTTCCAAATTGCCTTCAACATCTGCTTCAGCATGGCTTTCGTATCATCGTTGTACGTCATATTTCTCGTCAGAGAAAACGTTTCCAAATCCAAGCATCTTCAGTTCGTTTCTGGAGTAAAGGTCTACATATTTTGGTTCGTCCACGTCATATGGGATATGATAACATATTTTATTACCGTTATTGTGTTAATAATCACCATGGCTTGTTTTCAACAGGATGGATTTAAGACAGCTGAACAATTAGGTAAGATATGTTTATATTATATAATAATAGTAGTTTCTACAACAAGAGTGGATATAATCGCCATATCACACGAAGCCGAAGTTTGAGCATGACGTCGTAGGCCGAGTACTCATCGACTGAGTGTGATATGGACAGTCGACTTGAGTTGTAAAGTATATGTTTTCTACGACCCACTAACGAAAATTTACTAATTTATAAAATTAAATAAACTTGAAATGAAAAAAATTTAATTTAGTTAGTCTCCAATTCCAGATTTGAACCTGAGATCTCTCACATGACAGCCAAATATGCTAGTCTCAGCTTCGCCACACCTAATATTTTTGTTTTAAAACTCGTAATTAAATTGTTTTTATTAAAATTTATGATTTATTTGTAAATATAGACAAAATAAAAATTATTTATCGATTCTACACAAGAATAATTTAATTTAATGTTTATTTAATCTTAGTAACTAAATATATATAAAGGTGCAATATGGAGTGGACTGAAGAAAACATTTTGAAGCAAACAATAATTCTATTTTGTTCTTTCATATTTTTTAATAAATATTATTTGTTATTAAAAGTATTAAATTTGTATTACTTACCTTAACGTGAGCTTCATTCAAGCTATCGCAAACCTCTGGGACTATTTTGGAAATACTTTGTTTCGATACTTTAAATAAATAACTTAAACTACTGTACGAGTCCCCAGTAGCGAGAAATCTTAATGTTATCGCTAGCCTTTCCTTCACAGGAATATTTTTTCTAAATTAACTAGTCTTTCAAAATCGGTACTACTCATACGACAAAAATTATTAAAAAACATCCCATCTGTTTGCAAATCATGGAAGATTACTTCCACTGAATTTCGATCTACTTTTAAAAATATTTGACGTCCAACACCGTCCTTTTGTCACTTTTTTTCGTGTTCTCTCCGTTTTATAATATTAATAATAATAATAATAATAATAATAATAACCGCACTGGCAGCCGCCTTTAATAATAATTGATCATCCATGTCGGAACCGCAAGAGCGCAAACACAGAACTACAATGTTGACACTTTTGCTTGCGGATAAAACGATCTTGACACAAAAAGCAACGTTTCGCAAACAGCATAAGCGCGATCACGAGCACGAGCGTGAGTACGAACAGGATCAATGTGGACCCACCTTTACAATTAGAGTGACAGAATTGTCATATATTTAAAATTTTAAAAATACTTGCAGCCGAGTGACCAAAAAATGAACTGTGATTGATGTTTTTACTAGCTAGAATGGATATGAAATATATTCGTTCAGTTGAAAGCAATGGCATACTTTTTTGTTTTGTACTCTGTGCGTAGATAATCTAATATCACATATGCAACCAGTATATTGCCAACCACTTTTGGTATTGAAAATGAATAGTTTTGCAACGGGTCAGGGGAGCTTTGGCAGCTCCGTAGCTGCCAAAATATTCATTTTTGCACTTTGTGCCCATGGAGACTTTTGTTCAGGATGATAAAATCTACAACATATCAAAAATTCAGACAATTTGACAGAAACCCAATTTTCATAAGATTACTGCGGGGTTCTTTTATGTACCCCCCTTTAAGAGGCTGTATCTTAACAAGGGATGCTCCAATGAAGTTTCTTTATATGGAAGATTCTATCGTTTTTTCGATAAGAAATCACCCCCTTAAATGTTTTACACTTATTTAGTTACACCCTGTATATTTTATTTAGAATTAATTACAATATTTTACTTACACTAGGAGCTTTAAAAAGACTTTTAATCTCCTTGTGATTTCTTTAATTTTATATAGCAAATCCTGCTTTGTCGTTTTTTGTTACTCATTGTTACTTGTAGTCAGGTTCTTTATTTCAGCTTATTTTTATTCTTTTCACTAAATTTTACAAAAATTACTTTAATTCCCATTGACTTGCATAGAAAATAGACGTCGTTATTTTGCCACCCGCCAACAACAATAGTTTTTTGGAACTCCATAAAAATAGGGATGGAAATTTGAAATTTGACCAAGGCAGATTCGCCTCCTTATCTCTAGTCTTCATATTTATGACACATATAAGACGGGTGCAAAATAAATGATGCAACTGCACTAAAAAATAACTATTTAATTATTGTTTATTGATTTCAGATAAAATACGTACACAGACAAGCAAATACAATAATTATTTCTCAGTATAGTTCCGCCATTTATTTTGCACCTGTCTTGTACCTGTTACATACTTACACGATTTTCAAGTTCATTAAAAAGAATGAGGTCAGATTTTTTTTTCTGAAAGATGTTTTCCCATCAATTTCGGTTTGTGCTTCAGCCACATTGAAAAATTTAATTCTACAATAAATTTTTTTATTCACTTAACTATTTTTATTCTATGTCTCTCTTCTCCTACACAATAACTGAATACAAAACACTAATGTGTTTTTTAAAAATTTCAATAAAATTTGGTCTCGGACGCACTATGTTATTAGTAAGGGTCAAGATCTTAAATATTTTTTTCTCGAAAAAAGTGCGTTTTTATTCAATTTTTTGGTTGTATCTCTCAGTACCATCACAACAATCTAATGAGCTTCATGCAATTTAAACATTTAACATGTTTTTATAAAGTTTTTTCAACAAAACCAGATATGTAGGCCACCATATTTTCCTTGAAAATCATCATCATCCACAAACATGGCATTTATATCCATATCATTTTTTTTATCAATCCAATGTCGCCGCCGACAGTAATTGGTGGATTTTTTCTCTTACTCGAGAAGGTTAACAAAATGTGTCAAGATTGTTTACTCTACATAATTGTATTGCTCCTTTTTGTAGACAAGAAACACTATTGACTTACTAACGGCTACAACCTCTCCAAAATACAATTTCATACAGTGAGCACCATAAGTCTTACCCTATCTAACTCGTTACTGGAGTCTTGTTAGGAAAATCGCCAAGACACGTCGATTTTTGATTTCTACAATGTACATTTTGTATAAATAGTTTACCCTTAATTTCATCCCTTACTGGAGGGGAGCAACCCTTTCGAAAAATTTAAATGGCATGGGGTAGTGAGTGATAGCTCATTTGAAAGATGGTTTGATTCTCTATTCAACCGTGTAAAAAAATTTCTCGACTAATTGTTGTTTCAGAATAACGGAAATTAACGTAGCGCACTCATCCTTAGAATTAAAATTCGGCCCTGCATGATTTCGGTTTCGGTTCAGACGTGAAGTAAGACTTTTTGCCATTAGAAGGTCACTGTTAGTCTAGTTGCTTTCCTATTTTGTGAGATTTTGTTATTTTTAAACACTTAGGCGATACAACTATTTCACTTTGTTGAAAATAAGCTGGCTAAAATAAATATAAGATTCGACTCGCTCCCACTCATGGATCCATCTCACTCACACCCGCATAAGTCCGTTTAAAATTATTTTTCAGTTCAACAATTTGTAACATATAACTTTGTTCCTCTTTACAAGTGGTATAAACCACGCCACCTTCTAAACCAATCAAAGGACACGTTTTCAAGACTTCACGGAGAGAAACATTTTGTAAATGAGAACAATTTCAACCTTCAATCAAAACAGTTGCAAATTTAACATTAAAACAAATACCATATCTGTGAGAGACTTTTTAAACACGGTATCTTTTGTATTCAGTTTGTTATGTAAAAAATTTTACCAATCAACTATTTGTTATGTGGTTGTTGTCTTGCGGAGTTCAAATGTAGCCAGTTATTAAAAAGCAACATTGGTAATATGGCATTCTTTGAGGAAGCTAAAAAGGAATTAAATAAGCTGAACAAAGGTGATTTAATCCGGATAATAATTGAAAAGAAAGTTCCAAACAATATAAAAGTGAGTGATAAAGTCATGAAACACGTGAACGTTAGTGAAAACATGGAGTTTTTTGATGCAACTAACGAAATTCCTGATAATGATGTCGCTGACCACGCCGAATCGGTGAGTTTTCTGACTTTAAAATGCGACTTAAAAGTAGCTAAAGTGGAACTAGATGCTTCAAAACGTTTAATGAGTGAGTTAAAGCGAACTATTAATAATCAAGAATTCTTTATTAGTCTTTTACAATATTCAAAGAATTTGGAGGTTAACCATGATGTTACAAATAACCGAAGCGCTGTTGCCACTGCGTTACCAAAATCTGAAGATGCGAGGACTGAAAAGTTCGCTAGTAACCAAAGCGCAGTTGCCACTATATCTCAAAAACCTGATGGTTCAAGAAATGGTAATCTAACTAATGACCAACAAGGAATAAACTCCAAAGAGAGAAAGAAAGACAGAATAACGTAACAACAGCATTGGGATTCTCATCTCTCAATTGGGTACTTGTTGAGACGACTATCTTCTTTCCACAGAATGCGATTCGTATGTAATGTCTCTATTGAATTCGTTACGTGTTGAGTACGCTAATTAGAATCCCTGTCCAGATTTCATCTGCACTATTATAAATTCTTACACACAATAAAATGAACGAAATCCAAAATTTGGGTGAAAATAGCCGGACACAACCAAAAATTATACTGAAAGCGAAAATGTTGGGAAACTGAAAAAGGATGGGTGTATGCCTCTAAATATAAACAATCCTACACGTTAGAAAAGATGCAAAATTACTTGGAATCCAAATTCCCAAGGCACGAATTTTCATGCAGTTTGTTTGAAAATAAAGTTACAGGATCAAATTCATTTAGAGTCACAGCCGATGCAAACCTCAAAGACGTCCTCTTTAAACCAGAAACATGGCCCAAGGGAATAGAAATTAGCGATTATATTTTTCGTGGAAAGCGCAACTTTAACAAATATTCTAAGTTCAACAGATATACTCCTCGAAGACGACAACAATGAGAATAACATGTAAAAGAAAAGGAGTCATCAATACCGATGTGCCTTTTTATACTTTATGTCATTTAAATGTACACAGTTTGTCACCAAAAATTAATTTTTTAGATGGTTTTACAAATACGTATTCATCAAACATATTATGTTTTACCGAACACTAGGGGCCTGATGATAAACTTAACGTACTCATTTTAATAGACTACAATTTAATTGCTAGTTCTCAACCAGGTGGCGGTGCTGCAATTTTTGCAAAGAATACTCTTCGGAACACTTGTGTTAAAATAAATCTAAACTTAGAATTTTTTTTTGTAAATGTTAATGTTTAGAGGATAAACTAAATATATACAGTTTCCACATACATCTAACTCGAAACATTTTTCTATATACAGGGTATACAGGGCGTCCAAATTTGTAGGGGTGGTAGTTCGCAAAATTTGAGAGCGATTGGCAGATTTCATTTTTCTAAAAAAATTATAATAAACAAAATAGAGCCATTATAAAAAAATCAAAGAGCGGGTGCTACCCTGTGTGCGTAGCGCAATAGTCGCTTGATCGGCTACTCATCGGGATTTACAACTCAAAAACAGATGCGATTTGCAATTTTGTCGATTCTAAGCAAACTTACGAAGAACTCGATCGTAGCGCGCGCGAGTCAAGGTGATCCCATCGCTGTGCAGGACCGTACCTGTTTAAAATTTTTAATTAATTTTTAAATATTTTTATTTAAAATATTTTGGAAAAATGAAATCTGCAAATCGGTCTCAAATTATGCGAACTACCACCCCTACAAATTTGGACGCCAAGGAAAATACTAAAAAATTAAAATTTTACTCTTTTCCGTCAATTTTTCCATTACGGTCCATTTTAGAGAAATCATGTAAAAAACAAAAATACAGAGATCGGTATCGAAAACAATTTTTAATTTAACAATTTTCTAAAAAATCGAGATTTTACCCATTTTGTCAAAATTTTGTACAAGGCAAGTTTTATAGAATAATATTAGAAGTAACTTTCATTTGAAGAATTTTCTTCTCCACCCCTAAATAAGAGATATTGGTATATTCTATAAAATATAAAAACGACCCTCTATTCCCCCAGATATTCCGACTTTGCCAAAAATCAATCAGTTCACCTCAGGCCAGTATAATGGTTAAGTTTAAAATTTGTTGTTTTTCTCTTTGTGTTTTTGACTTTTCTTAAAAATTCGAAATTTACACATTTTCGTAAATACCTCAAATATGGTCCATATTACAGAACTTATGTACGGAACAAGAAATATAGAAACTACTATAACAAACAACTTCTATTTGAACAATTTTCTGCATTGCAGATAGGAAAATAGGTGGAAAATTTCCCCATTTAAAAACTACAAGATATTTAATAAAACAAAAGCAACAAATTTTCACACAAGGTTTATCCACCCTAAGTTTTGTTATTGTTGGTAAGCCCTAAAAATTTCACATAAATCTGATTTAAAATAAAGGCTCAGAATGAATTATAAATTTTCAGGGTGTTCGGTTTGCTCATTAAGTCAAATTGTTTTTTAACATGTTATAATTATTAAACCACCCACCCAATATAATTTTATCATTAAATAATATTTTCTTTTCTAGGTATAGTTTGTCTTGTTTTGGCATTCTTTGGATGGGCTGTTATGCCTTTGGTATATTTGGCATCATTTTATTTTGCAGTACCTTCCACCGGATACACCAGGTTGACACTACTTAGTATATTTACAGGTAACTAACAGTTAATTGTATATCAAGGCTATGAAGGTGTACACAACATTTTTTAGCCAACCATCTCATCAAGTATATCCAACATTTTTTTTACAAGCTTGTTTCTAAAAAGCGACATAAATGTAACTATGATACACATAACTTTTGTTTACATAGAGCCCTCGAAAGTAAATGAGCCAAAAAATATGTTATACTTTAATTAATAAAGAATATGTAATTTTTGGTGACAGGAACTTGAAAAATATATTTAAAACTTAGATAAAAGAAACAACAGATGAAGCATTTCATTCATAACGTACCATTTGTCTTGTTATAATTATTGGAAAAGAGAAAGAAGACATTTTATGCGGATTGAAAGACGACAGACTATAATCCTAGATGTTGTCTGGCAACGCTGCTGTTACACGCAATTAAAAGTCTGTCAATACCAGTGGCGTATCTTATTAAAGATAAAATCATAACTCCTCGATTTTTGTGCGAAAAAGATTATTAATTTGCAGTAAATACTAATTTTGTGTAAGTTAAATATAAAAAATTAATCATGAAATACTAACCTATATGATGTGCAATAAACTTTATAATGGTTTAAACTCTTACAAGTGATAGCCACATATTTCTTGCATGTCTATCAGATGGGAATCTAAAAAACAAGCAAACGCATAATTATTTTACTACTAAGTCCTGACTAAAATGTTTCCATTAATAACAAATAAAAAATAGTAAAACAAAGGTAGAAAATATATGTGATATTACGACATAAATCTTTAAATCTACACCACCGAACAATGCAATGCAATACTTAATTATGAAAAGACACTTCAGTTTCTTGCACAAAGTACCTACATTCGCGAACCATGTTGTTAGCTATACACTAAAACTACAAGCCGAAATATTTCCAAAAAAAAAAAGTCTAAAATCAACAAGAACACTAGTTATAGAACAATTTACTGTATGGCAATGTTGCAAACTATCGATCGATAATAGTTGTTTATGATATAAGTGGGATAAAATCTTTATTAACCTACGTTAATAAATCGTTATCACACGTATATTGTACAAATTTATATCTACGCCTCTAAATGAAAAAAACAAACGGTAATTATAATTTTTAATTTAGGGTTATTGTTCTCCACCACCATTACATGTCGATTGGAGACACATAGAAATGTTGGGGCGGTTCTAACAATTGAATAAAAACGTTTTGTTTTCTTAGCAACGATAATATTTTCATAAACAATAAGTCGAATATAATTAATTTTTAACGTATTTTTGCATTCTCTAGTAATAAGTTATTCGGAATGTTTGTCATCTGATATTGAAGAACAAGCTTTAACTTTAGATTGTGACAGTAATTTGTTATTAAATTTAAATAGATTTTGACATTTTAAATTTTTATTTGATTGTTTGAAAACCAGTAAGATAAGAAAAACGCGTGCGTTAATAAACTTCTTATCTCACGCAAAATGAGTGGGATAATAAGTTCTTATCTCACGGGCGTAGATAAAATACGATTTGCAGGCCTATTAATGGTGTTTGCCATAGTTTAACTTAATATTTGCGAAATTGTTATTTAGCAGGCGTATGTATGTAAAAACGGTAAATATTGCGACAACTATATCTACAATGCGTCGGAGTGGGAAACACTACACTGAGTAGGACAATGATTTGGTGGGGACGCTTGATGTGTCGCAATATATCTCAAAACTATTCTAATTAATAAAACTTGTTGCTACTTTGTAAGTTATAGGTAAAAACTATTTTTAAATATGAAAGGAATAAATTACACAGCCTGGCAATAGCGCACTAGGCAACGCATGTCGTTTCTTTTACGAAATCGCTACGTCCTACTTATTTTTGCAACATATGACCGGGTTTAAAGGTAAATAAATGTATCTGTTGTTTCTATAATCTAAGGTTTAAAAAAATTAAAGAATAGGAAAAGGGAAAGGAGAGGAGTAAATAATATAGGGAAAAAGAGAGAGGAAACAGGAAAGGGGGGAGCAAAGGGGGGACTTACAAAGTAATAGAGAGATCTAGAAGCTATATATTTGAATTTTTTTAGCTTTTCACCTTTGTTTTATTGTCATTTTTTGTGTGATTGTTTCAAAAGATCTGTTTCATTAGCCAATGATTTGCTAGTATCACATTAATGTCTTGCATGGGTTCTATATAATCAGTTTTGAAGTTTGTATTCAATATCAGTTGCAGTAATATTTATGAAAATAAAATAGAAGAAATAGATGAAAAAACTATTGAAATCGTAAATTCACATATGCAATAAAGGGTTAATAGCAATCATCTTTTTTCAGGAAGTGTAGCATACTTGATAGTTACAATTCTGGGTATCCCGACATTGGACTTGACTTATATCGCGGACGCGCTCCACTGGCCGTTCCTATGGTTCCCGCACTATGCCCTAGCATCGGCAATTAACAATTACTATACAAAATACCAGATAAACAATGTTTGTGACAATTACTACACACCATACTTGGAAAAGTGCATAAAAACATCGACTTACACTGAATGTGTGGCAAGATTTGGGGACTTGGCGACAACTTGTGAAGGTATGATTACTCTATTTTCTAAACTAAGTGTTTATTGTATCTCAATGGAAGAAAAAAATCACAAAATATCCATTTTGTACCAAAATTTTATCTAATAGTTCATTACATTATTAGATATTCCGGGTATTTAAAAAAAAAAAAAAATGTTTTTCAAATATATTCAGATTATATATTTTGGCTAGAATATTATAAAAAAAATTGTAGCAATTACATTTTAAAAATGTATATTAAATCAGGCATTGGATTTTGCTTTGGAGGGCATATTCTAGCCTGAATATTTAACCCCCAGAAAGACAATCATTTCCCTAAAATTTTAAATAGAAAGTGAGGTCAAGTGATACCTCATTTTAAGAGGAACAACATTATCTTTTAAATTATGCCGTTTGTTAGATTTTACTGGAGCAGTTCAAGCGAAAATGGCTTTAGTAACTTCAACCCTTTAGTTTTGATGATAATAACAACAATTACGTTTTAATGTTTGTTATTTAAGATTTTTTTTCTAAAAAAGTAATAAACTGTTTTTTTAAGGTTTATTGCAACGTTATTTTAGCAAATGTTGAAAATGTGACCCGTTTGATTCCAAACAAAAATGTAGAGGGTGTTGTGCTCCTGCAATTAGCTATTATTGGCGAAGATCTTCTTTGGAATTGGGATTCGCAGCAAAACATTTATTTTTCAAGTCTCCCTAAAGAGAATAGTCCAAATGCTATAATCTGGTGACTTAGCATGCCATTCAATTGGATCCCTCCTTTATCTCCACAGGCTAGTTCATAAAAAAAATATTATAGCAGCAACATATATAGTGAGAAGGTGATCCGTCTTGCTGAAAATCAAGTCGATCAATATTATGATTACGGTTATTATCTATAATTTCTGATATAAGAGGATCAATAACATCTTCGAACAGGTAGAGGCACACTTCACCAGTTTAACTTTAAGAAATAAAAAGTGAGCCCACAATATGAATACTTAGTATGCCATACCAGATATTCATTTTTTTCGGGATGTTGAGTGTGAACCTCATGGAATAAATGTGTGTTACTATCAACCCAGTAAAGGCAGTTATGTCTATTAAAAGCACCATTCAAATAATAGGTGCACTCATCGGAAAAGCAAATAATCAATAAAATGTCCTGATATTACATTAAACGTTGACTTATTCACAAAACTGCAGCTTTCCATCAAAATCATCCTCGTTTAGTTCCTGTACTAATACAGATGAAATTTATGCGCCTTTTAAAATCCATAATAAATACGAATGGGAGACACTTGAGGCTTCAGCTGGTTGAAGGGTACTTTGCGTATGATTCAGTTTAACATGTCCCAATACAGCAACTTCCACAGCTTCATTTTGATAATCTCTGCAGCTGGTATTTTACATTACAGACAGATCCAGTATTGGCAAACTTTTGGAAAAATTGTCAATATATACAAATTAACACTTTTATTGGGATGATTATTATTAAACAAACGATAAGCCTATTATATTAAAAAAAAACAATTTCAACTCTTGGAATAAATAATTTTTTACAGTAAAGTTAAACTAATTTCAAAACAACCAAACTGAATTATTTTCCTGCGTTCACTATTTATTTATTTTAACAAATAACGCAAATAATAATAAGGAATTTGGTTTTGAAAAAAATCTTAATTATATTGGCATTTCAATCACAAATTTTCATTAAAATGAGTAATTTAGAAATAAGTGTAGTTATTTTGGTTCCTAAAAACTAAAATGTACGTGCCCTTTTCATTAATACCAAAATTTCAATTAAGGTTCCTAAAGATGTTATTGGATTAAATGTTCAAGTAAAATTCAATAAACAAAATAATATTAAAATAGCCATTTGTGTATTAAGAGCAGAATATAGCACTTTGGCAGTTGAGACAAAAAGTTGCCGCGTGACTCGTTAGCGGAGCGCGGTAATCTGATGAAACTGCCAAATTACTTTCTGCTCGAATTATACACAAGATTTTTTTAACGATCACACCAAAATAAAATAAATAATTTAATTTTTTTTTTATTAGAAATGGATTACCTTCTTTCGTTATAATATTGTAAGTTTATTTGACATAAGCCTACTCTTCGAAGAGAACAAAATGTTTTAGTACATATTATATGTCGGTAATTGTTTATGATTTAATCGTTTAATTATTTACGGAAAATATTGTTGGATGATTTAAAATATTAGGAAGTCAATTAATAGTTGTTTATGTTATAAACCCGTTACCTAGATCTATATACATGCAAGCAAGTAGAGATCAGGTAACAGGCGTGTATCGTACAAAGCTTTATGATATACTGAAATTTACTGCGTTTTACAATATAAAATTCCTTTAAACCTGACAGTTTTAACATGTATCGTTTTCAATAAAAATTAATAATTCTTTTTATGGTTTTATTTAACTAATCGGTTAAAATTTTACCGGTTTAGCCAGTTATGACTCCCGTAAACAACCATAAACAGAGGTTGGTTACCATGGTATAACATTTCAGTATATAGTTATAAAATATTTTAGATTAGCCTACATTTTGTTTTAAAATTTCGATTAGCTTCCTTCTAATTAGGCATTCCAACGACCTGTCCAAATGGCTACCAGTGGGTAATGACAGTTTAGATATGGCAACCCTGTTGTCAAGTTGTCATTAACAGGGTCAATGATATATATATATATATATAGTTATATAGATTGCTCAAAGCTAGTCGTTTACGAGCGGCCATATTGCCTGGCAAATATTTATTAATTTGAATCGGTTTAGCAAAAATGTGTTCTAAAACCAATTATTAGCCTTTAGATATTTAAAAAAAATAATTGCTTACATTTTTACTTCTTATGTTTATTTTGAAAAATATGGATGATCAATCTATGTAACTATCTATTTCATTGACCTTGTCAAATCACCTGGCCTACAGGGTTGCCATAATTTTGCCATATCATAACCCACTGGTAGCCATTGAGTTTGGAATGCCTAATTCAAATAAAAATAGACAAGCGTGTGACAAAGTTACTTTGCGCCAATAATGTCAAATTATGACAATTCGGGGAAAACGTTAGTTAGATTTAAATGTTCAAAAGCCTACTTTGGATAGTGATAGTAGAAAAAGATAATTTTATGAACTTTAAAACGATGTAAGTTAAGGGATGTGATTGTCCCCTGCTAGGGGGTTGATAGATTGAAAAACGTACTCAAAATGTCTGCATTAAATTTCACAAAAAGAGGAAAAGCTTGGCGCATACTTTTCGTTAGACCACCCTGCATACATGTGTTTCATTAATATCATGTATAACTTTGTAGGTGCCAATAGGAACTATTTTACTTGGGAATCCCCCGGGATGGGCAAGAACATGTTCTTCTCCTTCCTATCCGGCGTAATTTTCTTCTCCGTTCTTCTGGTCGTCGAATATAAACTACTCGCAAGAGTTGTATACTTTTTCGATCAAAAATTACACCCGAGATATCCGGTGGACCAAGAAAACGAAGACGACGATGTCACTAAAGAGAAAGATATAATCAGAAATGCCAATGAATCGGATTTACAGTCTAAGTACACTTTGGTGGTGAGAGATTTAACGAAATATTATAAGAAATTTTTAGCCGTCAACGGTTTGTCTATGGGTATCGGGAAGTATGAATGCTTCGGGTTACTGGGAGTGAATGGAGCTGGAAAAACTACCACGTTTAAAATGATGAGCGGTGACGAGAGGATTTCTTATGGAGATGGTTGGGTAAGGTTTTATTTATAGAATTAAGACTAAGGGTCAGTCTTTTCACTTCTGAGTAAAGTTGAAAGTAACTACTTTCTGATTAGAGTATAGGTTATAGTTTGCTGATCTGCCAAGTAACTCTACAGGGTCGTTTGATTTGAAAATCGAGCGAGCGAGCGTCGAGTAGACCGAGAAGTGATGACGTCAAATTAGAGTATTGAATCAAATCTTAAAGAGACAAATCAAATAAAAGACTAAAAAAACCTCGCTTTTTTGTTATTTGTATTTCTGATTTGTGTGTTAAAATAGTAAGTAGAAAGAGATAGAAAGTAAAGAAAATAGAAACCTTTTAATAATGAGGGGCAATGGCCCTGAAATGCAGCATATATCACAAATGCCCGCTTCGCTTTCAAAGTCCATAACTTTGATTGCTGGTTAGTGGTGATTAAATCTGAGCAGAGGAAATGTATTTTCTAAACACACATTTAATTTTTTTATAATGATTAATTTTAGCTATAAGGCAAAAGCGGCTAAGTAATTTGTTGAATTTTCGTCTGGGTCTCGTAATTTGAGATTCAATTTTGTTTGTAGGTTAATTAAAAAGAGATAAGTAAAGTCAAAAACAATTTTCTCCCTCTTTTCGATCCTTCTGCTTTGAGAACATCGAACTCGCTTTATGTTCTCGCTCTAAAGCAAAACAAACCCTTTTGGGATCTCTCGTAGTGTCAATTCAAACACGTTTGCAGAGCTCGGAGATTTCCGATAATCAAATCAAACTCACCATGAACGTGTAACTTGACTCAGAAGTGAAAAGATTAATCTTTAAAGATTCGCCTAGTCAGCATAATTTGAATATCTACATCGGATGCATCTGAGAATCTTCGATCACGTGATTCAATATACGTAAATGTAGTAGGACAGATGTGTTCGACATGGATAAACAAACCTTCGAGATGTAAAAAATGCATCGGATGTGGAAATTCAAATGCAGCATTAGATTACGCATTAACATTGTCATTAGCATTGGGTTATTTTTACCGACTTCAAAAAAGAGGAGGTTCTCAATTCGTCGGACTATTTTTTTACGTACGTTCAACGATGTTTTTTTTTGTTAGAAAAGGGACACCTAAGGGGTAGTTCTGTATAAAATTGGTCAAGATCTGTTAATCTAGGAGAAAATCGAAAATCTCAATTTTCAAGGGCACTTGCACGATTTTAAAGTCGATTTTTTTAAATTACTTTTATAACTGCCTTGATAAACTGCTAGCTAAATAATTTTTAGCCCAGTAAACAGTATTTATTAATAATATATTAAATATTACACAAGGATGGCTATTATACATAAAATATTAGACGCTTGAATTGACATTTTCCATTATTCGACAATGTCGCATTACTCATGCGCAAAAAAAGCGCCCGACTTTTAAATCTAATAATTGTTTGCTACATCTCTCTTATTATCTCCTTACAACTGTTGGGTTGGCTACGACGATTACCCCATGTCATTTTGTTACCTTTTATATTGCCAGTTGTAAAAAACCTTATAAAAAGGGATCTTATAACCCTCCGGCCTAGCTCAGATACCGTTATAAGTGTTACATTTATGAGTCAGTGAGATTCGGCTTAGAATTTAACTAATAAGTTAATTAGTGCAGGGCATAGTGGCGCATGCGTTTGCAAAATTGTTTTAATTCGTAATTTTTTTTTTAATGTCCGGAAGGCTTTCCTGATTATAAAAGTGTAAGATGACACTCGATATCTGTTGACGTTATTGTTTAAACAACGAAAAATTAATTAAGACAGTAAAAATCCATTTTTTGCAATGAATTAATTTTTTTTATATTCTTTAGGATATTTTGAATAAAAAAAGCCCCTACGCTAATCATCGTATCTTTAACCCTTTATTTGTTATGAATGTTTTAAAATCCAAAATTGACGAAAATTCTAATTTTATTGAATTAAATAATATACCTTAACATTTTAAATGCTATAATTTTAAATTTTTTCCCGAATATTCAAACTATAATAAACAAAATAACCTAAATAAATTTTCAAAATTTTGTTTGTTGTTGTTTTTTTTTACGTTATAACAATATGCTTCCTACGCGCGTGTACTTTTAGAGAGAAGTACTTCTATCTCACTTCCAACTCAATGTATAAGATGGGTAAGAGAAAGCCCGATGACGCGCTGAATCAATTTTTTGCTGTTTTTCATAGGTAATAAGTTTAAAAAGAAATAAATTTGCCGATTATTAGTTTTGTATTATGTGATTTTTTTTTACTTTTTTAGATACTTTTGATAACTTTTTTATTTATTAAAGTTAACAGAAACATTTATTTTTAACATTTATTTTTATTCATGAAAAAATTATTGTCAGATACTGCCTGAGAAGTAAAATCTTCTTCAACCTTTTTTTTTCAATACGATAAAAAGGCCAAATGCACTTATCGTGATCTGTGAAAAATTTCTACCTGTTACAATGAACATAGTAGGCTTACTGGGGTTATAAAATTTTATGATTTCAAAAATATCCAAGCCTTTCTCCATTTAACAAACAAGGAAAAAAAAATTTTCCATGCACGTCGGATGCTTTGAAATTGCATACTTTACGAGCTTCGTTTCAGACTTATGTGTGTGCAGTGGTTGACTGGCATCGGGATTAACCCATTTGCCACAGACATTATTATTTTTATTACAATTGTTACCACTGATTGTTAATTGTTATTGGTTTATATGTTAATTTTAGATTCTTTAATAAATGTTATCAATGTATTAAATACTTTTTTATTGTTTGAGATCAATAGCAACGTAATATTGGTTGGAAAAGAAATCCCTATATCTAATAACTTCGTTAAAATTTTTTTTCTATATTTATTGTGGTTGTTACATGCAAATATCAAATGATTAAGATCTCCTACTGAATTATTATCACAAGAACAGAAGGGTGTCCTTAGGACACCGATCTTAAATAGGTGGGAAGGAAACCCACCATGGTTCAACCTCATCCTAGTAATGTAAATAGAATACTGTCTGGATACTTGAAATTCAGAAATGTGAGAAACAGTATTAGATGTATTAGGCTGAATTTGTGTGTAATGATTGTTTGAATTATTGTTATGTTTGAAATCAATCCAGATCTTTTCCCAATTGATTCTTATTTCTTTTTTAAAGCAATTGATAATATCGGGAACCGTGTAAAGTTCCTCGCAATACTCTAAGTTTGTGGAGTCTTTTGCAGCGAGATCTGCCATTTCATTACCAACTATTCCCACATGAGCTTTAACCCAACAAAAAACTATATTTTTATCACTATTTTTAAGGTTGATGAGTTTTTCTCTTATTAGTTTTACTAAGTGGTTGGAATTTATGTTTGTAGGATGTTTTTTTATAGACTGTAATACCGACAATGAGTCTGTTAGAATTACGGAATTACCAGCGTTATTATTTTCTATCCATTTCAGCGCATGTAAAATTGCGTTTGCTTCTGCCGTAAAAACAGAACATATATCCGATATTTTAAATTTTGATGTTTGATTAAGATTGGAAACATAGAACCCACAACCAGTTCCCTTTTGGGACTTTACTTACTTACTTACTTACTAGTGGAATATCTGAAAATTTTTTAGTAATCACTGTTGGTTTAAAAAAAATTTTATAATATTCAGAATTTGTATTAACTAAAGGGCTGTATTTTTTAATATTTGTTACTAGGTGGTTAGTAGAAACAAATGCTTCTGCCAAAGGAGGGCTGTTTTTAAATGTCCAATACTTGTTTATGAGGTTATCGATAGATAGTTTATATATGGAATCTGTTATGTATTCACAGGATGAAACCCTTAACATTATTATTTTCTTTTGGGCCAAAAATTGTCTGCGGATTGAAAGGGGAGGTTCCTGAGCCTCTACTAAAACTGCCGGCGAGGGCGACGATTTAAACGCACCTAAACAAATTTTTATTGCTTTTAATTGAATTCTGTCTATAATTAATAAATTAGAGTTGGATGCGGATCCGTAAATAATACATCCATATAGTCAATTATAGATCGTATATAGGATCTGTAAAACAAAAGTGAGGTTGTGGGGTCGGCGCCCCAATTCCTCTTAGCCACACATTTTAAAACATTTATACCTTTCTCACATTTACTTTTAATATGTTCTATATGTATTTTCCAAGTTAGTTTTTTATCAAGAAAGACACCCAAATACTTGTAATTATCTGTAACGGGAATGTAATTCTCACATAATTTGATTGTATCCCCCATAACCAGCCGATGACGTGTAAAAACCATCACCGCCGATTTGTTCGGGGATAAATCCAATGAATGCTCGTTTAACCATCCTTGGAGGCAGTACATTATATAACGCAGATCACTAATACATTGGTTATAAGACTTGTGGATTGTATATATACAGATATCATCAGCATATTGAACAACTCTAATATTTTGATGAGATATTTTATGCAAATCTAGGGTATAGATATTAAAGAGTAGTGGGCTCAGAACTGCTCCCTGTGGAATTCCACAGTTTACAATTCTTGGCCCATGTAGGTTATTAGCGTGGTCTCTGATAAAAATTTTGCGGTTTCTATATAATTGTACAATATTGGCGGAAGCATTTGATTGTAGCCCTAAAGAAATTAATTTTGATTCTAGGATGTCCAAATTAACAGAATCATAGGCAGCCTTGAGGTCTACGAAAAAACAAGCAAGATATCCATTATCTGAAAAGGTATTTTGAATATCAGACACTAAATGTATTAGGGCATCTGCAGTTCCTTTGCCTTTTCTAAAACCGTATTGAGAGGGAGGAAGTAGTGTTTTAGATTCTAGAAACCATTCTAATCTAGATTTTATGATTCTTTCGAATGTTTTTGCTAAGCATGACATTAATGATATTGGACGGTATGAAGTGGGATCATTAGGATCTTTTTTTGGTTTTAATATGAATATTAGTATGGTTTCTTTGAATTCCTGAATAAATTTACCATTTATCCACCATTCATTATATATTTTTAAAA